AGGGAGTTATTTGCAAAGCCTCAGCTAGTGTAATTAAGAGCCAAGAGCAGCTGACCTGAAAAAGCAACAGTGAAAAATACAGTCAATTGTTAAACATAAATTACTCCATAATTAAGTCCAATTGCCTTATAACAAAACTAGATCTTTCTCTCGTCCATTACATGGACAAAAATCACACTGAGAGAGTTTACATGTGGCATATTCTTCCACCAAGAAGTTCATAACTCTGTGAAAGATGATAGTATCACAGCAAAAAAAAAAGGTTTCTGTAAGCTTAGATTCAAGCACTGGTCTCGGGGAAGCAATGCATTCAGGGTATGTATGTGGTGCATGAGCACCTCATATGAGGTGCATGAGCCAGCCTGTGAAAGCTGGAAGCCTTCTGCTTCCATCCTCACCACCCCAACCTCTCCCTGTCCCACTCCCTTTTTGTCGCACAGAGTGTTCATTCACCTCAGCCCCTTCATCCAGGCACACTGTCAGTAACTAGAAGGCTGGATATTTCTTAGCAGCGCAACTGGCCAGACCTTCAGAGCTGATGCAAAGACTTCGAACTAGAGGGGCCGCACAGAGTTACAGCAGTTCAGGACCGCAGAGGTCCAAGACCCAGATGAGCTACAGGCAAGTGTTTATACTGCTAAACTTCACTTTGATTTCCGTGGGTTAACTTGGACTTTCCTTGAGTTTGCCCAAGGAGTCACCTCCATTCACGCTGTAATGACAGCCAGCATAGTCACACTGCACAAGTTTTAAAAGCTTTGGGAATTAACTCCTCCTTATGCCTCAGAACATGAACCCACCCCTGATAAGAAGAAAGGGGCTGCTCCTATTTGTTTTGCTCTGTGGAGCTCCATGGACCTTTTTCTATGCACTGTGCTGCTGGCCACAGCCAAAGGACCTGACATACAGCAGGTATGACCAGTTTGCACCTTCTGCACTCCCAGTATGATGGACAAGACATCAAACAACGCTAATACTCCCTGCCCAGCATCAGAGCCTTGACTCATAATACCCGTGGTTTTTAATGTTGTAGAGGAGTGAAGAAACCTAAAATCACTGCTAGAAAAATGGCAGAAAGAACTTTTGTGCTTGATAGTGCTTCCTAGTCAAAAAAAAGTAAAAAAAATAACATTGCTGCAAATAGGATTGATTCCAAATCTGCTTCTTGTCCATTCACTAGACCTGAGAAACAACAGAGGAATCCCACAAACAGCCAAGGGTGACCAAGAAGACAACAGGCTGGGTTTATGTTTGGTATTCTTCAGATTTTGAACAAGGGCAACAGAAACCACCCGTTCCCAGGTTAAATTGCCTTGGCTCACAAACTGAATGTGGAGGACAGGCTTCTGAGAGGGAAATGTGAATACAAACCAAACCCCCATACTGCTCTGCCAGGGTCTCCTCTATGAAATAAGAGCTTTCAACTTCACTTAAAGAGAGAAGGGACTGTAGCAGAAATTGTCTCCTACTATTTACCAATTCATGTTTAGTTTTAAAACACTGTCTTCTCCTCGCTTTCTTGCTTCACTTTATGTGAGTGGGGCAATCACAGCAATAAAGTTAGTCATCAGTGCAGTTTATTAGCCCTTAAAATGTTAGGGAGCAGCAAGGCCAGCCTGCCCCACGGCAGGACAGCCATGCTGGAGAAACGAGTGCTTGACAGACACCAGCATCTTCCCTTGGCCTGGATCACTGCCAGGTGTCCATGCAAGGCAGCGGCAGCATCTTTTGGACGTCAATCCCCAAGAAGAAAAGGCATTATTTCTATCACACTTCAAAAAACGTGCGCTTCGCTGGTGCTTTGTTTGGCAGCGAGTGGAATCGCACGCCTTATCCGACAGTTTTCTTGTAGCACCAGCAGCGCTGCCCAGCACAGGGCGGATGCTCAGCTTCTGACATCCCCGTTCACAGCTGGAGCTGAAGGGAAATGGGGCGGCTGTGCCGCTGCCTGAGATGTGCCAAGGCAGTCTCCACCTTTTCCCAGCACCAGCTTGTTTCCAAGTCATTTATAAGTCATCTGCCCCCCAGCAATCCCAAGCCGCAAACCACCCAGTAAACCAGACCTCTTTCTGGAGTAAAAGACTGACGTCCTCCAAAGAGAGAGAGAGATTCAACAGACTGGTTTCATAAGTCCCATCTCAAGTGGTGAGATTTTATTGTAGGCAAGAGGAAGATGGACACAGGACTTTTGTCAGATTGTATTTGAAGGTTTGTTCCACGAATGGAGTTACACACATTTTTTATAATAACCATTACTATTATTTTATTTTTAATCATATACAAGCCCCTAAAATTTCTGTCTGCTCTCTGACAGTTCAGTGTCTTTATTTAGCCTTCTACCAGTCCTGTCCCAAACAGAAGACCTGTAATTGTCTGTGTTTGTATGAAGTGAGGTTGTCACACAGGAAGGCCACACAAGAAATCAAAATAGGAAACATGACTGGATCTTGGTTCCTCTCTTGGCCATCAGAAAATCCAAACTGAAACCTGCAATCTCAGAAAATGGCCCAGATTCACAATCCTGATGCGTTATCTGTGCTTTCAGTGTTCAGGGGAACCAGATATTTTGCACCAGCCCCTGCTGTCAGTTACTATGGCACAAATCTGCACGAACTTCACCAGTTGCAGTTAAATTACTCAGTTAAATGTTCTTTGTATTTTCACTAAGATACTAATGGCCCTTGCACCTGCTTGCAGAATTTAGCTGAAAAATTTATCTTAAAATTAGTTTAAAAGCTCCACTGTGGGAAAGAACAGCATCCACTTTAATAACATGCTGACATGTGATTCCCAGAAGACCGTATGTTTTGGGGTGGAAGACCCTCTGGAGGTCACCAAATCCAGCCTCCTCCTCAAAGCAGGGATGTTGGCCGAGACTGATTCAGATCAACGTGAGATACATCATTTATAGTTATTTTGCACATATATCATTATTCTACATCCCAGGGATGTAGAACAGCAGATTTTTCCTTGATTTCACTGACTTTTGGTGTCTATCTGGCCTGGGGCAGGGAGGCAAATATAAACCCTGTTTAATACGTGTGGAAGGGATATATTGCACGAGATGTACATTGACTGTGAAGCCATCTGAGGTCATATTATGCAACCAACTCAGGGCACTAATGAAGGTTGTGTAAATGTCTCCCCTAAAGTGTGCTGTGAGCTGAAGGCAGTGGGTGGAGAAACGCTGACTCCATAGCAGCTCAGGTGGACTTTACAGTATGAGTGACGAGCATTTACGTTATGGAGGGAGCTCAGAGACATCTCAGAAAAGAGGGCTGGGAAGGGGCGTAAAGAAAAAGTATTTGTATAAACCTGTCTCCCTGATGGCTGCGTGGGGAGCTTCAGCTCTTAACTCGGTGCATTCGGAATTGCACCTCAGGAAAACACCTCGTAGCTTGACCAAGGTGGATGTGAGTAACCCACCCAGTGCATCCCCCTCCCTCCAGGAAGGACTGAGTGTCCTTGAAAGATGAAGGTACAAGCTGCCTGCGTGGTCTTTGCCTTTCACTCTGAGTATAAGCCTGTTTACAGCTCTGCTCGCAGCCCCTCCACACACCACCGGCCGACTGGAGATCCTGAGATGCAAACAAACAGCACATCGCCAACCCAAAACAGGCACTAAGTAAAACAGGGAATGCTGCATTTATTCTTCTTGATCTAATTATTTGTTATAAATTAAGTGAGATAAAAAATTCATTTTGCAATCCTTTATTGGTCCATAAAATTTACTGCAAGGTTTAGCAGAGCGGAGACGAATGCTAATGCTGCTGTCTCTCTTGCCATTGAAAAAGTGCAAAATACGGTTTGAAAAGAGAATAGCGAAACCAAACTCTTTTGCCAAGAAGACAAAACTTGCACTGGTGGAAACAGCCTTAGGAACAACATACAAGTCTCTGTATACGGTTTTATTTTCTGATGCCAGGAGTTGGAAGCCTCAGCACAAAATTCCCTCCCCTCCTGCCAGGGACTCGGAGCCTGCGTGCCCCTGGTAAATCACCCCCGGCACCCATGGACGGGGCTAGGGGTACCCGGCCCACAGCAGTGAACCGCCGTGGAGCCCGGCAGGCGCCACGGACCCCATTCCCGCTGGAGAGGGCCATAAAGCTTTCACCGTGTCCGGTGGTAGCTGGCCACGTCGTATGCTTCACAAGCTTGCGTTAGGGCTCAGAAAAGCTGAAAAAAGTTTAAAATTGCTGGTTACTGTTCTCCCAGGCTGCTACCCAACTGAAAAATGTACTTAGGACACCCGTGTCCATCTGCGGTAACCAAAGTTAACAATTAAAAGGAAGACAGATGCAAAATAAGAGCTCAGCAAATGTACTCATTTCTAACACAAGAGTTGCCAAGTCCCTAGCACAGTAAATTACCATCTGCCAGCTTCTTGTATGATTTGAAGGATAAAGTCAGGCTTTTCTAGATCCCATAAAAAGCTGAACTAAAATGTTCGTTTCAGAGAAATGCAGATGAGGGAATTAATCTCCTAATTCCGCTCCTGCTATGCAGTCTTATACATACAAAACCAAATGGTGCCATGTTTCAGGTGCTTTGAAGGGTGAGAATCTGCAGGAGAGCATTAGGAAGATAAGAAATAACATATTCCTTAAAACGCTGAGCTGGTGTCACTTCAACATGAAACGGACGGCCTGACTCACCACCCTCTATCATGGATAATGCCTAACGAGGGTTTCTCTCTGCTTCATTTCAGAACCACGACCGCACGTGCATTGCGTGCAGAATCATCTACCGGTCGGATGAGCACCATCCTCCCATCTTACCCCCCAAGGCAGACCTGACTATAGGGCTACACGGAGAGTGGGTGAGCCAGCGCTGCGAGGTGCGACCAGAGGTCCTCTTCCTCACTCGCCACTTCATCTTCCATGACAACAACAACACCTGGGAAGGTCACTACTACCACTACTCCGATCCCATCTGCAAGCATCCCACCTTCACCATCTACGCCAAGGGACGTTACAGCCGGGGAGTGCACTCGTCCAAAGTGATGGGCGGCACGGAGTTTGTGTTCAAAGGTAGAGTGGTTCACAACACTGGGGGCAGAGGTGGTCATGTAGTTACAGACCAGAGCAGCGTTCGCTTATAACAATTTGATGGCTGATGATTTCATTCTGTTGTTTTCTGGAATTAGTCATAAACCACGACACTTGGGAAGTTCACAGGCGTTGCGTGAATGCCCAGCCAGACTGTACAGCTGCATGGTATTTCGTACCAATGAAGCGTTTGAGGCATTTGAGATCATTTGACGCATTTGAGGCAGAGATCTTTAAGTACAGCACAAGAAAATAAGATTTCACATCACTAAGTCTTGGAGTCCTGTGGCCGGACTTCAGTCATCTAGCTAAGTATCTGAGATTAGATCTGTGTCCTAGGGCTCATTCAGCAGAGAGAAAAAAGCACCTTCAGAAGGCATTTCAGGTCATAAGTGGTATAAATCATTTTCTGGCAAAGATAGATACAGCAGTGTGGTGGGTTGACCCTGTCTGGATGCCAGGTGCCCACCAAAGCTGCCCAGTCACTCCCCTCCTCAGCTGGACAGGGGAAAGAAAATACGAGAAGCTTGTGGGTCGAGATAAGGAAAGGGAGATCACTCACCAGTTACAGTTCATGGGTAAAAAAAGACTAACTTGGGTAAATTATTTTAATTTACCAATTTCATCAATCAAATCAGAGTAGGATAATGAGACATAAAATCAAATCTTAAAAACACCTTCCCACTACCCCTTCCTTCTTCCCAGTCTCAACTTCACTGCTGATTTTCTCTCCCTCTCTCCCCCCAGAGGCACAGGGGGACGGGGAATGGGGGTTGTGGTCTGTTCGTCACACGCTGTCTCTGTCGCTCCTTCCTCCTCAGGGGAGGGCTCCTCACACTCTTCCCCTGCTCCAGCCTGGGATCCCTCCCACAGGAGACAGCCCTCCATGAACTTCCCCAACATGAGTCCTTCCCACAGGCTGCAGTTCTTCACCAACTGCTCCAGCCCGGGTCCCCCCATGGGTGCCGTCCTTCAGGAACAGACTGCTCCAGCCTGGGTCCCCCACAGGGTCACAAGTCCTGCCAGCAACCCTGCTCCAGCCTGGGCTCCTCTCT